GGGGATTTTTTATTGCTGCTACTTTAAACCATAGATATGCTTTGATACATTTTTAAATTGAGAATATTAAAAAATAGGGATAAATACCAATAGTTGTAGCTTTATTGGATACAAAACAATGTAATTTATAATTGTAACTACCAGATTCAAGAACAAAATTAATTCAAACAAAATTCGTTGATATAAATGCATCAATAGATTTATAGGACTAGTTACAATTATCCTTATCTATCTGAAATACCAGAGGACTAAAATTAACACACTTAATTAAATAAATGACCACTGTGTGCGTTTTCTGTATGTAAACGATATCTGCAGTTACTTTAAACAACAAATGCAGTGCCATCAAAGAAAGCCGATAACAGATCAAAGAAAACCGATGTTTAAATTGTGCAGATAATGAACTTTTGAAATAACGGGTGTTTCGTAGTGATAAGGAAATATCAACCATTGTAGACAACCCTGTAGTTACTTTTACTGCCCTTATATACTCTATAACAGCATTTACGGCTCTAATAGATAATACTAAAAATCAACACTGGGGGTTTCATTTCTTTATTTCGCAAGAACTAGTTAATTTTTATAGTATTATAACATTCTATCTTCTGATGACATATAGCTTGTAAAGTTTATATATTTTTTTAAACTGAAGATTTGTAGATACGTGTACTGCGTAATTGTTTACTTTTCTTACTTAATTTCGTCTTTTCAAAAGTAGTTTGTTGATCGTAAATCAGATTAGAAAACCAAATAACTCAAGAACGGTGCGACCTTGCGAAATGTTCAGTACATTTAAATTTATTTACCAAAAAATGTCTGCTGATCTACTTCAGAGTACAAAATTGTTTAAATTTTTCCAGAGTACGAAATTCATTTCAAAACTCTTTGATTTAAAATAACTTGATCCGTTAAGTCGGCAAATTACTTAAACTTTTAATCAAAGTAATTTATTTTTTCTTAACATTTTATATTTTTAATCAAAGTAGTTTATTTTTTCTTAACAATTTATATTTTTTGTAAACTTGAATTCAATTATAAGTTATAAAAAAATAAATAAAATCAAAAAGAAAAAAAATACGAAATTAAATATGTTAATAATTCAATTATTATTAACTCAGAAAAAATTAGTTGTATTTTTTTTAACAGTTTGTTAATATTTGTGTAATAAAGATAAAAAAAGGAAAATAAATAAATATTGAAGATAAAAAATATTAGCTTCTCAATAGGTTCTTCTTAATAACTGTCAAAGTTTCATGGAGATTAGAGAGATTAGAGAGGTATTTTTAATGTTTCAGGTTCCTTTCAAGCAATATGAAAATATTTAAGTATGTTCATGCTTGTCTAATAAGAATGTTTTGCATCTCATCTAATGAGAATGTTTTGCAAAAAATTGAGGTAATTGTAGCCTCGAAGCAAAGATACCCCAAAGTCTACTACAAACGTAAGGGCGATAAGATTACAAAATATTTTAATTTACTACCTAATACTAAATTTAAAATCAATGACATATTTCAAATTTTATTTAACGTTTTAGAGTTCAAAAATTGTATCCATATAAAATTTTCAACGTATTACTTTTTAAAGGGTGGAAGGGTGCAAAAAGGCAGAATCATCACATGGTCAAAACTTTCAAACACTACTAACAGGTCATTATATGAATTTTTTTTGATAAATTTATTACTGTTAATAAATTTAAATTTAGTATAAGATATCTGGTTGCCCTAAACTTGAGGAAGGATATGCAAACATCAACGCAACATTTTGCAAAGCATTCTCTTTTGAAATAACCATGAGCATACCTAAATTTGAAGTTTTTACAATGCCTGAGTGTGTACCTATGAGTGTGTAAAGTGTATACCTATAACATCAAAAAGTTCTGCATCCGCCTAGGATTAAAATAATAAATATAAATAATAATAGTAATAATAATAATAATAATAATAATAATAATATTAAAAAAATATTAAAAAAAAAAACTGGCAAACTAGAAATTTAGTCTACTACAATAAAATATTTGAAATCAATTGAACAAAAATGGTTAAAAACTTATTATAAAAAAGTTGAAATTAGAGGCGTGCTAATAAGAACGAAGTGGAGTTAAACCGGTGATGAAGCAGAAAACGAAGAGGTGTTTTAACTGAACTGGTAATAAAGCTGAAAATGAGTCACTACGATCAACAATTGGAACAAATACTGAACAACTTTTTTGTTTCATTTTGGACAAAATTTGTTTACAATTAAATCTATTATATATCTGAGCTTGTTGTACAAATATTCGACTTACCAGAAAGTTAATGCAGAAAAGCAAACATTACAAATAACAAAGACAACCGCAACTGGTTTTTTTGACAGGTATGTAGTGTGATGAATGCGAGTTGATACGCTGATCGATGCCTTTCTGGCGTTTTTTATCACGCAAAGCAAAAATAAAGTTACCGAAAGTCCAAACAAAATTCTTAATGAACTTTAATAATTGACGTTTCAAACTACTTTAGATCCCAAAATAATTTGGTTAGATTTACAAAACTTTAATTGACATTCATGGTTTATTGATAGGTGTGTAAAAATTTAATTTTTACACTAAAATTATTTATTATTAAATATTAAAATTATTTGGAAATTAAAAATTTCTCTTTTCAGATTTTGCTTTTTTTATTTTTTTATCCTTATGATTTTTAAACCTTTCTATTATTTTTGTAATTGCCATCTTTAATATACATTAAATAAAAAAAAAAAAGAAATTTTAAATTTAAATTTTATTTATTTTTTGCTAATTAAATTTCGCTTAGAAAATCAAACAAAGCAGCAGGTTTTAAAAGTTTGCGCAACATGCGCCGCAGCATCGGCATGTTTCCTTAAAAACGTAATAAAATTACAGTTACAAAATGTGTTTAAAACCGTTTACGCTTTGCTTTACAGTGTAATTTAGCATTACTGTGTAATAGATTTGAATTCACCAATTTACAATTGTTCAATAGTATAAAATAGTTAGAGAAATACTTTAGCCCTATAACCTTCTATGACATAAAAAATTCAAAACTCAATTTTGAGAATAATATGTCTAAAGTTTGATTATTAATTTGAAATATTAATATTAATACAGTTTAACGATATTTTTATATATATATTTAATATATATATATATATATATATATTTTTTTTTTTTTTTTTTGCTGTTTAAAAATAGTTACAACAATAAGAATATTTACATGACTGAGGCAAAAAGAAGACTAAAACTGTTCTGTCACTAAACCCAGTAAATATAGTATGATATAGTAGTATAAAAAGTTATTTAAACCACACTATAATAAAAAGTATAACAGTATTAAAAAACATTAAATTAAGCGATTTAAACGAAAACCTGTACTTATCTTAATAATATCTCGGCACCCATATGAACACAAGTTCATTTCGGTAACAGAACCAGGATTATCATTAAACGCCGAAAATCGTATACAAAGTGTAAAATGTTTTATATAAAGTGTTTATTAAAAGATTTAATACCTTTGTTAATTGCAGAACTTACAAAAAAATTGATTAGTAAAACTTTTGTAAAATGTTTATGTTTGAAAAATCAAATTTTAAGTAACGTTTTTTGAAAGTTTATTGCATACATTACGGCAAACTATTCTGTCGGTTTATTACGGAAAACAATTCTGTCGGTTTATTACGGCAGACCACTCTATCGGTTTCGATTTTGATTTTATGCGTCAGTTGAGTTCCATTGCGCCTATGCGGAAATAAAACTAAAAACTGAGTATTTTAATTACATGGAAATAAATTGTCTTACAAGAAAACTGTTGGAAAGGAGTAAATAACCGACTATCTAAGGCGCGGCTATTTTTCATGTCATTGACCTTTTCACAAATCAGTTTGTAAAAAAGAGTTTTACAAAATTTTATCAAAATCACTCTCAAAATCGTTCGAGACTACGATAGTCTTGAGACTATTTTGTTATATATTAGACTTGTTTTATAATAGTTGAGAGAAATGACCGTTTCTCTTCGCTGTTTTATCCTTGTAATTCGCTTCTTAGATATATCGATTTAAGTTTTTTTTTGGAATATCAAAGTTCGTAACTATTTGTATTTGTATTGGAGGTCGATAAATAATAAAACTAATATCTTTGTTTGTTTAAAAGAAGAATTAGGAAATAGTTAGAAAATAAAAATCTTATTATTAGTAAACTTTCTTATAAAACAGAAAAACGACATTATTTAAACGCTTCTTTCAAACGCCTCAAGAGATCCCGCTGCGAAACTCTTCGTTTAGACGCCTCTTTTGAAACGCTTCTTTCAAACGTCTATTCTAAACGCTCTGGGATTTTTTTCTTCACAATTTTTATATAAATAAAAAGTAATAAGATATAATTTTTTTTTTAACGAGTGAGGTTACTAAAGAGGAGGTTGTATAAACATTTTCTAAAATGCCCTCACCCTAAAATACTTAGCTATTTATATTATTAAACAAATTTATTAATGGAAATTATTTTACTTTAATTAATTTGTCTTATTAAATATTTAAATATTTTTAAATATTTGAATGTTTCTTTTAAAAAAATGCTTTTATCAAATTATTTTAAAATTTAATTTTTATCAAATTTTTCTTAAAAATAACTTATATTTTATTATATATTTATTCCAAGAATTTCCCTTTCCACCAAAGCGAGGTTGTTTTAAGTCCACAATCTGAAAATAGAGTAATTGAGAATGGTTTTGGTATGCTTCGATAACTTGACAAAATATTGAGAAAAAAAAAACAACCCGCTTTCCCTGTTTAGTTACCCAAATTACTTTTTTTTTTTTTTTAATTGTTTTTGTTGTTGTTGTTAACGCAAACAAAATTTTGACATCTCAGCTTTATTTTATTACTTTCTTGATACAATTACATTTTTCAAAATATATTTTAAACAAAATAATATTTATTATGTTGACTTTTTTTGCTTTTGCATCATAAATGATCTTTTCATCTCTTGTCGTTTCAACTTAAACTACAAACAGCTTGTCTGATTAAAACATAAAATGCATGACTGGTCTCGAAGTATATAATGCTGTTTGCCAAGCAAATATCTCTGCAGTTTTCAGTTCTTCAGATTTGAGAGCAGCTTAAAAGTACTTTGTAAAAAGTAATCCAATCCAATTGTTTTCTGAAACAAAAGAATATTTTCAAAATGTCTTGCAACGAAGGTTTATGGAGTGGCGATGTCCAAAGATGCTTTGAAGAAGCGGTGAAATTATACCCGCCGTGTGGTCGCCAAAAAATTATGGTGACGTCTCGAGACAAAATGTATGGCAGAAACGAGCTTATTGCACGATACATATTTGCAAAAACAAACAAGATCAGAACTCGAAAGCAAGTCGCGAGTCATATTCAAGTTTTAAGTAGAAAAGAATCTCGATGTAACTCGACAAGCGGAGAGTTTGCTAAATTAAGCCTAGAAGAAAGACTACAATTTTCACAAAGTCCTACCCTGGATAGAGGCATATTTTTTAACACGAATACTTCAGAAGATTTACATAAAAACAATTTTTTTAATGAATATGATAACAGAGTAAACAGAAACATGACAAAAACAACCCAGTTTTGGAACTCATACCCAAGAATTTGCCCAACTGACGCATCTTTTGATAATATTTACACTAAAGAATACGCTTATAACGATTACTCGCTATACGGAGTAATGAATGAAGAAAACCCCAACAACCAAGCTAACAAAATTTGTATAGAAAACAAGCCTTTCGCAGAAGATATTTTTTTGCAAGAACAAGCAAAACTAAAACAGAAAATGTCTTATATTGCTAAATCAAAAAATGTGAACCCTCAAAGATATTCTTTTCATCACCCAGCAACACCTGCTAATCATCACCCGACATCAAACGTCAATTATCCTGAGAAATACAGAGACGATAAATTTCAAGTTTCAGTTGATGGACTTGAAACATTTTTCGATCTTTCTCCATTTCATTCTTCGAATATATATCAACAATTTTGAACATTATTATATATTATTTATTAAAATTTTTGTTCTCTTTTTGACGTAACAAGAATATTGTAAATTTTTAACGCAATTGTATGCATGATTTTTATGCCGAATAAATTTTTTTTTTACTAAGTAACGTTTCTTAATTGCGTTCTTTACATTAAACAATTATATTTTTACTGTTAAACAGCTAAATCTGAAATAAAATAAAGTAACTGCCAAAAAAAAAAAAAAAAAAAAATTACTTCACTTAATTTAGTCACAGTAGTTATGCAAGAAATATTTCTCTGTTTACTTTAAAAATTGTTCTTAATGCCAGCTTTCATATTTATTTATTTCTTACTTTTTATATCGTTCTTACTTTTTATTTCTTCCTTACTTTATATTTCATTCTTACTTTTTATTTCTTTTAAGCTTAATACTTTCACTAAAAAAATTCACGCGGCTCATTAAATACCCCTGGCACGGCTCAAAAAAAGTAAACGAGTATTTGTTATAGGCAGCTGGAGGAGGATAAACAACCACTTACATAATGTTAAAATTAAAAAAATATATATATATTTCAAGTATACTCACTAAAAAAGCAAATAAAAAGAAATAGCAAAATATATATATATATATATATATATATATATATATATATATATATATATATATATATATATATATATATATATATATATATATATATATATATATATATATATATATATATATATATATATATATAATGTAATTATATGAATAGAAACATAATTTTTTTTTAAAAGTTATTACGTTTATAACTTTAACCCTACATTTTGCCATAGTTTATAAAAAAAATCTCTTTTTCGATTATGTAGCAATCATTTGATAGCCGCTTTAATTATCAGGTTTAAAATGAGCCGTGGTCAAATATCTAACCACATATACCGATAATATCTATTAAATATATACCGATACTGGTTTATGTTTATAGTTTTTTTTTTTAATTTTGTTTAATTTTAAGGCACTTGAAGAAGAATGCACTCGAATAACATAACTTAACAACGTTGATAGCTAAGTATTATTTAATAAATTAAAAATTATCGTAAGAGAGTAAAATAAAATAAAAATGTTGCTATTATTCTTTGTTATTTTATACGCTGTTGTTTAATTTTTAAAATGATGCCCAAAATAGCACTAAGAAAATGGTATTAAAATGTTTAAAATATTTGAGTAAAAATGCGAATTAAAATGCGTAGAATTGCAAATATTTGTGTAAAAATGCGAATTAAAATGCGTGGAATTGCAAATATGTGAGTAAAAGTTCAAATTAAAATGCGTAAAATTACAAATATTTTTTAGAAATGCAAACTAAAAAAAGTGATGCGCATAATATAAGTAAAAATGTGATCAAAAGTTTGTAAAACGTTAAACAAATATTTCGTACGATTAAAATTAACGCTGTGAAAATAATATTTGTATATTGCAATAGTTTTTGTATGTATATTGTAGTTGTTTATGTATGTATATTGCAGTTGTTTATGTATATATATTGCAGTTGTTTACGTATGTGTATCGCAGTTGTTTATGTATGTATATTGCAGTAATTTATTACAGGGCCAACAACACGGGTATCGAAGTGGGGTGGGGGGGTAAGGGGCACAATCGTTAATTTTTTAAAAAAGTCTTTTATATCTAGAGCATCCCTGGCCTCCCCTGGAATCGTCGGCCCTGTATTAGATATTGGTATATGCAAAAGGTATCGAGGAATTATCAGGATATTATCATATATTGATTCAGATTTAAATTTAAAGTGAACTCAAAAATTAAATTCTAACTGAAAAAGTTATTTACTATTGTAAAGAACTGACAAGTTCTTCACAATAAAAAAAATACTTTTTTACAATAAGAAAATCTACAGTAAAAAAATCTTGTCTTGTTTTGTTTTTAATCTACATTAATGATTTTCGTTGCAATTTTACATCCAAAGTAGCTCTTTTTGCTGATAACTCAACTTTGTACTCCTGTCTTTACAAAAGGTCTTCCCTCTTTGATTGATTTGAACAGGCGGCAGATCCTGAATCTGATCTAACATCTGTAACAGATGTTAGATCAGATTGCAGTGCAGTGAATTTCAACTCCAACAGCTTGCAGTGGCTTGTGAATTTCAACTCCAACAAAACTGGTTATTCAATGCAAACAACTATCGCAATACTGTCAACATTCCTATATCAATGAGTGGCAAACTTCTTACTGAGTCCTCTTCTTCGCATTTTCTTGGATTATCGTTTACTACTGACCTTTTATGGTAATCATATATATACAATGTTTTGCTAAATTAACATCTGCTAAGGTTGTTTCTCTTTATCGTGCTCGCCATTTTGAGCAGCCGTGGCACTATATAAACGCACTTGCCTCAGAATAAAGGATCCGTGGATCCGTTCAAACCCCACCTCAATGAAAATTTTGCGACATTGGTTAGGAAGGAGGCGTGAACTTCATTAGGCGTAAAACTCATCCACGGTGCTCTGTGATATGATTGTAAGGACTTCTTTGGGCACCTAAGTAAAATTTAATTAAAAAAATTTTTTTCTCACTCTTGATTCCATTCTCTACCTCTAGAAATCTCTTATTTGTCCCTGTAAGAAATATTGTTGCCAAATTTAGGCTGGTTCTTCTAATAATACTCTTTCTCTTTTTAACAAAGTCTATAAACGCATTTTAATCGGACCCACTCCATCTGCAAAGCTTAAGTTTCTCTCCCATTGACATAAAGTTACATTTCTTTCATGGTCACTCCTCAAAGGATCTATTATCTCTAGTTTCGTCAACTAAAACTTAACTCGTTATTCAGCAAAGTCTCATTATTTTACTGTATTTTTCTTATCTTTGCATGCTCTAAAAACTTTTATTCGTCTAGTTTTTTTCCGCGCACTTGAACCCTTTGGAACTCTCCCATCTTTATGTTTTCTTTCTCATATAACCTACAACTTTTTAAGTCTTCAATCAACTGTTTCCTTGCTTAATAACTCTAACCTTTTTTTCAGTAACTCCAAAATAAATAGTGGTTGCTTCCAGCCTTATTAGGAGTTAATCACAATAAAAAAAAACAAATTGAAAAAATATTTAGCTTACATTGTTTTTTGCAAATACTATAGTTTTTGAATGTAATCAGAAAAATAAACGTACTTAAAAATATCAGACCTAACAAACCAGACCAATTTGAATTTTATTAGATCCGATTAGCTTTAACGGAACATAATGTCTGTATGCGCTTTTTAATTTTTTTAATTAGCTTCGTCTTTTTTTTTTTTGTTTGTCGTCAAAAATATTTCATTGTTTTGGTATTGAAATCATATATGGGTATTGTAGGAAAAACATAAATTTAAATTTTTAAACTTTTAAAGCTCTTTTTTTTTCAATGAAAAAACCTTCTTTTTTTTAAGTGCTCCAAGATGTCCTTACAGTCTTATGACAGAGCACTACGGAGAACCATTTGAACGGAAGTTCACGCCTTCTTCCTTACCGATATTATAAAACTTCCCCAGAGGTGGTTGATTTAAGGATTTCAACCTTCTGAGCCAAGCGCACTAAACCCTGCGCTCCGGCTGTCTTAATATATGATTATTACCTTTAACTTAATGTTTTTAACGTTTTAGAGAATGTTGCATAAATAATTTTTTCTCAGCAATTTTTAATAAAAACAGTTGTTTCTTTTTATTCAGATATGAGTTGAATCAAATGTGAAATGTGAAATAAGAAAAAAAAAGAGACATTGCAAAAAAGATAAGAAAAAATAACATTTATATAAAAACCAAATTACGTTACAAAACATATAGGTTTTCCCAAATATTCCCGACCTCTGGTACTAGACAATAACCTCCTTTCTAATACTATGTTCAACTTTTATAATATTACGTAGCAACCACATCATTATTGTTAATAAGGAACTTTTTAATAAGAAAGTGCCAACTATAGAAATATTGCACGTTAAATTTAGTTTTTAAAACATATAGTATATCACTTTAAATGATGTATTTTTCTTTTACATTCATTTACAGTATGGTATAATACGCTCATCAAAAAGCCTATAATATGACAATTTGTTAAATGAATCATTAAAAAACAACCAGTAAAAATAGTTTAAATGGTTGCTCAAAATATTCAGTTGGTAAGCAATACAAAATACAAAAACAAACTCTGCACGGTTATGTAAAAAGAAGATTTGTTGATAAATTTGTTTGATTAACTCAAAAATGCAAAAGCGTTAGCCGAACTCGAATTATTACAGCAATTTAGAATGAAATTTTTGTGGAAGCACGGGTAGTTGACTTCAAACCACCTAGTTATTGTTTCTTGATGGATGAAGTATCAATATTTGCAACAAGTGATGTTTTTTTTATGAGAAGAAACAAATCGTGTTTACTAGGACTAAGAAGATGTCACCAAAAGATGTCAATAGTATTAATATAATAGCTCGGGATTTCACGTTTGAGAAACCAAATCGAGAATGGATAATTGCATGGAAATTGATTAATTATCAACCTGAAACCCTAGTGCATAAGATTGCTGATTACACTATCCCTGTTGGCAAAAAATACGATAACGGAAAAAAGTATGAAGGGTCGATATAAATGTACGATTTGAAGAAACACAGTCCAAGAAAGGGTTTGGTTCCTCTCATGGCAGCAAAATAAAGAAAAAGTACGACCAGTATTAACTCCGGGAAACTGAACACGTTTATTGAAGCATTCAATGCGAAAACAGATGCGTGCGCTGACAAACTCAAAAAATGGAGACAATTTTGAGAAAATGTTTCAACAATTAATTTATCTTCATCTTACCTGCAAATAAAATTGATGAGAAACTCTAGGCTTACCAAACTGTTGTGTTCCGTTGACAGAGATTTTGTTTAACACTTTTGAGATTCGGACTTAACGTTGCGCCAGTCATAATGAAAGCGGTGTTGAAAAAAGTGCTATCTCAAGACAAAACAATCGTAAAATGTTCATACATTGGTGATTATTTTGTGAATAAAGACATAATAACTGTTCGTCGCGTTTTTGATCATTTGGAAATGTATGAGCTAAATTGCATACAAGTGGCCTGCGTATCCAACGGAGCATGACTTTACAGGTTGAAAAGGAAAATTAAAAGCTGAGTTCC